CTTTCTGCTCGCTAACAAAGCGTAAGACCTTGGTGGCAGATCGGGACAATGGACTATTGTCGTCGCGCCGGAAGTAATTGATATATTCATAGGCCAGATGGATGGACGTGACAAAAACTACGGCTCACCAAAATATCCAAGTAGCCGTAACTGGCGGTAATAGACCTTTGTATACCGAGACATGGGCATGATACAGTGTTTCAGGCACCCATGTCTCGACAAAAGAAATGTAGGTGTGTAAGATCAGGGTATAGGTGCAAGATACCTAATGATGTTAGGTATCTTGATGAGTTGCAAGATACAAGATCCTACCTAATGAGTTGCAAGATAAACTGGGAAAGGTAATGCGACCCCGCTCTGTGCCCCATCCCTAATTGATCTGGACCTTCGCAGTAAAGAGGAAAGCTCGTGCTGCGGTCTTGCCTTGTGTGGCTCCCGGGGCCTCAGCGAATGCTCGTTGGGCATGCGTGTCGGAACGTTATTATCTCGCTACACGCACTTGTAGCTCGCCACCTATGGCTGAGAGGAAACATCACCCTATAATATTTTAACCTAGTACCGCGTATTGTTCAAGCCGCTAAAGAGACAGGCTTCACACATCTGCATTTTTATTCTGAATTGAAGCTCATATAAATTGTACGACTATGGGATGAGGGAGGGGGCGGGGGAGGTGAAAAATGTAATATTCGTGTTCTCTGTCCCCCCCCCCCCATTGACCCCTGGCAGGCTTTTTAAGCGACTTTGCGTCCAACGCTGTATTCGTTGCTGTTGCTGACGCTGACTTCACGGACTTTTCTAGAGCTCGGTCTCAAGCCGCCTCAACAAATCTGAAATCTCCAATATCAACAAAGTCCGGGCTGTTTTCGGCATCCTCGGTCGGACTGAGGACTCGGGTATCATCCGGCTGTCATCTTCAGCTGCCGTCTCTCTATAGAGGGCGGCCACTCGACCGACGGGGCCATCTCAGCAGTCATCGGCAGGGGTCAGCGACGGCCGGAGCCACACGCCGCCGACTGCAGTGGGACTGACCACGGTATATAGAGAAATGGACTGACCAATCAGACTGACCACCGCGCCGCGCCGACAGACCTCGGAGCCGCCGCTGTCAGCTGGCAGAGAGCGCAGCGTGGTCACTGGGCAGTGGGCGGTGGGCCGAGAGGGATGTGGGATGTGGGTAGCGGACGTCATCCCGACTGGTGTAGTGTGTGTGCAGTGTGGGAGGGGGGGGGGGGGGGGCTACTGTGGGAGTTGCCTCACGGATGCTACCTATTTGTGTGTGTGCGTGTGCGTGTCGAGGGTGTCATCCAACAAAGGTGGTTGACCAATGGCCAGTGACTGCCTGGAACGATAGTTCAAAGGGGGCGACGGAAGGGAGGTGCTGTACCTATTTAGGTATTATTCGAGTGAGTGACGGAGTGACATTACCATGAAAAAAAAATTGTAAAAAGCACAGAGGGATGTGGGTGCTCAGAGTTTTCGGGACGTCGTGATCTGAGCAAGGTAGATAGGTATACATACATAGATGTCGGTTATTATTAGTACCATTTGTTATGGGCTGAATCGGTCCATCAATTTGTTCATTTTTCTGAGCGACTGATTTACTCGGTGTAGGTAAGTAGTTCAGTTGGGACTCCATCGACCATCGGGACCCGGGTGGGTCTAACTACATAACTAGTCCGAGATTCAAATATCTAAGTTTAATTAATATGCCTAGGACCAAGGGTCAAACAACACTGATCACAGCCTGCGCTCGTCATCCACCGACAGACATCACGTGCCGATTCCATCATCCTCCATCGCGTGACACTGGCCATGAGCGTCATCTGCGGTCGTCCAGCGCGTGCTGGGACGGTTATCCGGCTGACCGTGTGCACGGCGGCCGATAATGGGACTGCCCTCTGGCAGCCCAGCTCAGCCGCTCAGACATCACCCCATCACACGCGGTATCGGTCGAGCAGACAGGCTAAAACTGAGACTGAGACTGAGACGAGACTGAGGCTGAGACTGAGAGCGAGGTTGGAACTGGGACTGAGACGGAGACTGAGACGGAGATGGAGACTGAGAAGGAGACTGAGACTGAGATTGAGGAACCAATCGTCTCCCAGCTCTGAGAAGGGATGGACAATTTCGCCGCACCGGGCACGGCAGTCCATTGTGGGAAAATGACGGTGGACGGAGCAGCGGCCGGCGCGACCGTTCCGGGCTCAAGCACAGAACAGAGAGAAAAATCAGCGGAGAGAGAGAGAGAGAGAGAGAGAGAGAGAGAGAGAGAGAGAGAGAGAGAGAGAGAGAGAGAGGGAGAGGGAGAGAGAGAGAGAGGGATGGAGGGAGAGAGAGAGAGAGGGAGGGAGAGAGAGAGAGGGAGGGAGAGGGAGAGAGGGAGGGAGAGAGAGAGAGAGAGGGAGGGAGAGAGAGAGAGGGAGGGAGAGAGAGAGAGAGAGAGAGAGAGAGAGAGAGAGAGAGAGAGAGAGGAGAGAGAGAGAGAGAGAGAGAGAGAGAGAGAGAGAGAGAGAGAGAGAGAGAGAGAGAGAGAGAGAGAGAGAGAGAGTTCAACACCTGAATACATGCAACAGCTCCTCAGTTGCAAGTACTCGTAATGTAACAATCGACACTGCTGTAAAAAGCATAATGGTATGACTATGTTAGAGCAATAACGCTTGGATTTCGCTGAAATGAAAAAAAAACAACACATTATACCAAAACATCGTTCATAGCTGAATTAACAGCCATGCAATATGCATCCCTTTCATTTCAGTCTTCACCTCACAAGTCGCTCACATTTCTGCACCCCGTTGGGTGGCGTATGTAAATAGTCGCCTCGCTTTGAACTAAGGGTGCTGCCCCGGGATAGTCACACTGTCAGACCCGACCAATCTTTCCAGGCGAGTCAGACTCGAGTGAATTTCGACTCTTATTTGCGAGACACTTGACGCACCAGCCGTCAAAAAAGTCGCCAGGCCGCCGCTCTGGATCCGCGGTGTCTAGTGCACTTCAAAAGCACTCGCCGTTTAAAGGGACCCTCCCACCTTAACATTAGTTTTGAGTTGAGATAGCCAAGTTTGCGGCCAGGCTCAGAAACCACCATTTATCCTGGTCGCAACCCCCGCAGCTTTATGGTGTTCAAGAAATTTCTTCCCTTTACTTGCAGGGTGGGACCAGCTTGGTCCCTATCTCTTAACCATTATGGGAATCTGATGACGTCATCAGGCTTTCGAACGTCCGTTAAATGTTTGACTAAAACGTTTTGTAGCACGCGGTGGTATATGCTGCTTTGCGCGCAACAAATGCCGCACTTTCAAATAAAGTCGCTAGGAACAGCGGAGATCCCAAAAAGTAAACAAAAGTAAAAGTCTAATATCTTGAAAACCGGTGAATATTTTTCGATAAAATTTGGTAGATATTCGTTTTTGGTCTTTCTGAACCGAGCGACATCACTTTCATGCCAATTCATTAACTTTTTTGAAGGTGGGAGGGTCCCTTTAAATGAGGTTACTGCCAGAGCGGCCTATGGGAAAGGCAATTCTGGCTCCTGGTTCTCAGTAGCAATCCAGCTTTTGAGATTTCGAAATGGACAACATAAGCTATTACCTATTATGACTTTTACTGATTACACAATGATTTGGAGTAATAGGGAACTCTGCTAGGCAATGTGCTTATATGATTTATCTACACTAGCATTATACATTCGTAAAACACATAGATCACACAAGAGTAGGTATTCAATGGTCTGACCGCTAGTGACAACTTTCTGACCCACACCCGTCGTATCACAGTGTAAAATAACGAGATTTGACGTTAATTTTTCGATACCCTATCAACTATCATAATGCTGAAAATATACGCGCCAATACATGTAAAATCATAAACAGTTCATAAATGACGATGCATCAGTTATCTATTTACTTTTTAGATACATCGTTTGAAAGTGAAAAAAGTCAATAGCTCCAAAAATACATGTACTCAAATAGATGGTGAATGATAACGTATTTAGACAAAGACGCTCTGCATTTTTCTGATATCACCTCTGGGCTCTGATAAAAACGCATAATTCATTATCTAAAAAATAAAATATTGTAGAGCGGTAAATTCTTTGCAGTTTCAGCATACCGGCGAGCGAACTGTGGAGCGTTAAGTGCGCCCAGAAATAAAACTAAATTATCCACTAGACGCGCATACAATGTAATCAACACACTTAACTATGAAATGTATCATGTTGAAGAGCGTTTCAACGAGAAGAATTTCGCGTTGACACTGATTCGCTGAAAGAGCGACAAAGAACGTTATTGAGGCTGACAGCAAGCGGCGACAAAGGGCGCCAGCATGATAGGAAAACAGGTAAAATGTTATGGGTTTTACCAGTGTTTTTTTTTTTAGTTCTAAGGTATAAGGTATAAGGTTTTATGAGGTACAGTCCACACTCCACAGCAGAAGTAATGTGGGGTTTCAGTCATGGGTATGTTCTGCTTCTGAAGCTTAGGAACGATTAGCCAGACTACAATGAAACTTTGAATGTAGCTTATATGTATTCGTCACCCTTGCAGCTGCAACTTTAGCTATTTATATCTTCTTTTCGATCACTCCGCATTAAACAATCGCCAGTCAAAGCCAACCGTTGAGATTGGTAAAACCCTACATTACTTTAGCGGTGGGCTGTACATAATCTCTACCCGTCCTAGCATAGGTATTGGTTTACCAGACTATGGACTTACGCAACTCCAGACGAATAGATTAAATGTACAGCTTTGTATAATGGCTGTGTTGTCGATTGATTTACGTTGATTTGTGACACCTTGTAGTGAAAGCCGCCAACGAACGTTGCTTGCTACCGCTTATGTGTCTTACAAAGTCATCACATTACACGATCAATATCTATACCAGGGCGATCGCATACAGAAGCGGTTATTAAGTGTTGTTCAAAATGTCGCTCGAAATGATTTAAAACAATCTGTATCGATTGCATTTCTTTGAATGTATTTATGTTTTCAGGAACGACGTGTGAATAGTCACCCGAATATGTTTATTGTATCTCATCGTATATTTCCAACAACCTCAGGTAGGCATTCAGACTAGCCCTCATTATTTTTCTTCGCTTGAAGACAAATTATCTTTGAATGCGACGCCTCCTTAGACACAGTTGAGAACAAACAAGAGTGCTCGTCACTGCTCTCTAAAACAAAACTCGACCAAGAGACAAAGAGCGGTTTCGTAAGCCACCTTCACAAACGAATCTTCTCAATGCCTCGCTGCTCCTGTGTTGCGTTTCCATAGCAACGACGAGCATCAAGCTGGTCAACATTGAAACTAGCTAGATGTGGAGGCTCTCGGAAGGATCCGCTATTGACCACTAGCACAGCATTTGACCGAGAGCAGCGGGTCAAATCACACCACGCCGCCCGGTCACGCCACTCTCAGCTGCCCAGCGCACCGGGTGCTGGTGACGGCGCGTGACGTCACCCGGCGTCACTGGGCCTCTCGCGGAGGTCGCGAGGTCAGCCGGTGACCTCTCACTCAGTTGGCATCCGTCTCCAGCCGCTCAGTTGCGCGGGCCTCGCCATAGGAGGCCGATGGATGGGTACGGTCGCCGCTCCCGGGCGCGGATCCGGTTCATCTGCCGAGAAAATGGGGAGAAGTCGGATGGATATCCTTTTTTACCGCAATTAGATATTCAAAATTATGTTTATGTTTAGATTATGAGTGTGCACTATGCATTATGATGAAGATCTTACACTGGATGAGGAATTAATAGAGAATGCGGATTTTAGCTCCTTCTCTAGCCACAAGAGACAAAGCCCACGCTAACTTAGCTGAAACTTTGTGTCTGAAATGTATGTTTGAGCACTGAGCAGCACGCATACCGACCTTCCTAACTATTTTGGCGGTTTTAGTCTTTTCTACTGGTTAGCGGGTGACATTTCAGTAATGCTTCCCAACGTCTAGCAGAAATTTGACAGAATCTGTTCTCGGAGGCCATGTGGCCGAGCAGTAGCTCTCAGAAAATGTCGGTGCGGATGTATAATCTGGACGGTTTACATGGGAGTCAGACCCGACATTGGCCACTCGAGAACAATATTGCTTTTATAAAAAGGTCATCGCTGGAGAAACACGTCCAATATGCGTGATGTGAATGCACGGTTTGCAATTTTTCCAATACGAGACGATTCAGCCCTTTTTGGCAGCGCAATAACAGCAAGATGCTGACTTTGTGACATCTGCTCACATCTGTGATCGGAGTTATATAAGAATGGGTAATCAATGTTACAAGAAGAGAGTGGAAACAAGTAACCAGACGACTCTAATAACTCCGCCAGTTCCACGTACCCAGGCCCTGGCGAATCCAGCCGGATGTGTCCGGATCCTCTTGTTTCGCAGCTCGAGCTGGGGATCCCTCAGGTAGGCGGGCTCAGAGGGGTAGCTGTTGACGAGGAGGGACTCGAGCAGCACGGCCAGGTCACCTGCTGTGACATCCACGGGTGCGTCCTCACAGCTTCCTCCGACACAGCTCGAGTCTGGAGGCAAAACAAATGAGAGACTGACAGGCACAGCAAATGCATGTTATGCTAGACGTTATAGGCAAAAGGGATCTCTCAGTACCTGATGGGCACCTTTTAGGAGAATGGGCCCAATTCTTATTTCATTTTCTCATCTATTCTATTGATTTATTTAGTTTTTTGTTAATTTCTATAACTTTTCATTACAATGGATAACTGATTACTCTAATAACTCCGCCGAGCAGTTATTAGCACTTTGATAACTCCGGTAGTGACTTTTTGTCGTTCCTTTTAAACAGTACTTGCGCAGAGGCTGGTGCGAAGGCCCCATTTAGTGGTACATCAGGCAAACTAAATGCGTTGAAATTCGTTGTATGTCATGACCAAATGGGTTACGATGCGTTAGATATAAGCAATGGTATGTTTGAGCATCATTAATAAAATTATTGTGATGAAAAATGATCTTACGCTCATGATATAATCTGAATAAGTTGAATTGAACTAAGAACAAAAATAATTGATACCTATTTTAGACTTGCATCGTCTTCAGAATGTAAGTACCTTTTCAGAATTGTCAGGTCTGATGTTACACACTAAACGTAATCACATTGTGCAAATGTATTATCAGAACATTCACTCTTCCATGACACATTCAATCTTATACGCAATCATGCGTCATGTGTAATAAGCTTTTCGAAATAACCCTTAGACAGAGACTGATCTACTCAGCCAACAAATTGTCCAGTGAAAAGTTTTAGACTTGAAATGAATAGCCGTCCATTTGTCTTGGAAGCTTCTTATTAGATCTCAGGCTGACTTCTAATAACGCTCTTTTCCTAATCTATCGTCCTCGGCACAATACGGTGCAATTTGTTTGGCCATAAGACCCAATGCATTGTCAGGGGCAGGTATAAGTCAGATTAATTTTAGCAAATAAGTGTCCACGCTTTCTTACTATCATCACACACCCTACAGTGATTTCGCAGTAATAAGAATGTGGCCTGATGCCAGCGGCTGAATTAGGCGTTGATTTCACCCCGAAACATTTTCTCGAGCATAAATGATAAGCTCCTAATTTCTAATGACATTGAATTAACGCTGGCAACTTAATTACAGGCTGAGACTCGTTATGCGAATTACACTGTTCTTGACTGAGGGGAGGGGCTCTATAGAACCCCTTGTTTTTCTTCAATATCTTCTAAACAGCCTAACGTCTCAACACAAACTTCCTTTATCATCAGCTGTATTAACCCTCGCCCGTATTGGTGTTTTGCCAGCCACGAACGTATAGGATGGGGGGGAGGGGGGGGGGGGTACGTACTACGGTGGACCCCCTTGCCGCTTCACCCCTGATCGAGCTAGAACTTTGCAGAAAAAACGAGCGTGCTGCCCGGGACGTGAGGAAGCCGATGATGCCCAAATTTAAGGTCCTAGATCATTGGTTGACCTTCCAGGCTAAGTCAATGACCCAAAAGTCGGAAGAATCGGGCCCTGTTAGAACGTCGTTAACCCGCGCCCCTTAGGGCTATCGGCGGACCCTACCACCCATAGGGGGGGGGGGGCGTTTCGGCCCCCCTAAGATCTCGGAAATTTACCGGCCGATGTTAAAAAATCAAACGGCGTTTGATAGCCCCGTCGGGGAACTACCTTGTGGCCGAATTTCATTGACCTAGGTCAAACCGACGACGTTACAGGTCAGGTCAAAGGTCGGATTTTCACCGTTCACAGGCATTTAAAGAAATACGTTGTGAAATCGAGTAAATTGGTAAGTTATTGAAAAGCATCGATGGTACACCGTTCTTTAAACACATACTTTGCTATCTGAGGTAACTGATGCCAGGTCAGGTCACAGAGGTCAGGTCACTGGGGGGTCACAATATGAAAGTGTCGTGTGATACATGTTTTATGGTCCATTTTACATGACAAATGCGATTATGTGGGCCAGGCAGCCTTTGGGGCCAGCGTAGGTCACGTTTGGGTCAAGGTCAGGTCAAGGTCAGATCAAATTAGGTCAAATTTCAAAGTTGATATTTTTGCATAAAATGGGTATTCATTCGATGCAGCTCGTCACGGGGAGTCTAATGGTGGTCTTTGTTTTGCTCTATGTGGTCTAGGGTTGCCAAATGAAAATTTGACGTCATCATTTTTGAACAGTTTTTTTCGCTATAACTTGGCCAAAAAGAATATATTGATCTAAAATTTGGTATGTAGATAGAAGACGGTAGGTACTAACATATATACTCCGGTTTTTGCGAAACTGTAAAAAATGGATTTTTTTGCAAATATATAAAAAATTGCTTTTTTGATTTTTAGGGGTCAAAACTCTAAAATTTCAAGAATCCGAGATGGCAATTTTGTAGCCCTGTCAATTTTTCACCTCTTATGTCTGGATCATTTTTCTGTATCTTCAAAGCTGTAGGCCTGACAGCTCTTCTCGCGAAGGTCTTTTTTCGGTCGAAAATGGCAGAACATGACGTCATTCTGACGTCATTTGTGGCCAACCTATCATAGCCTCTGGAAAATTGTTTTTGTCACAATGTATAAAATTGATGCCCGAAGGGCCTGAAAGTTTGGTGGCGATATCTCTAGCCGTTTAGGAGATATCGACGGAAAAGGACAGGGGGCGGGGCCGTTTCAGCACCATTTTCCATTTTCCGCCATTTTCCGGTTCAGTGTGTCAATTTTACCTACATCTCGATGTTTGAGGGTGTCTAAAATAGCGTTCGTGCAAAACAGACGCTTTTCAATTTTCTCCCATTGACTTATAATGGAGAGGCCGCAAAATTGACCTGACCTTAGGTCACCGATATCAAAATTCCGAGATAAACATTTTATAGATAATGTTGCTCTAATCAATCGCTGAAAGTTTCAAGGCAATCAATCAATCGGTGTAGCCATGACGAGCATTCTTATTTTTTTTTCTGAGGTGAGGTCACCTGGTGTGACCTGGTGTCCTGACCTAAGGCGACCTGGGTCTGAACTTTTCACAACATGTGCGGAAAAGATTCACGAACAGGCGCCGCCGTTTTTGAGATATCTGCGAAAAACCGCAGGGGGGGGGGTTCAAACACCGTTTTTTAGATATCTGCGAAAAACCGCAGGGGGGGGGGAGGGGTGTTCAAACACCCCCGGCCCGGCGCGGGTTAAATAGCTGCCAAGATAGAGTTTTAGCGATAAAAACAAATCACGAGCACGGTTGTGAATTATTTTTATTTCGGGAAAATACAAATTACTTTTAGTGACCTGAGGTCAGCCGTCAGAGGTCAGGTCAACGACCCCGAGGTTTTAGTTTTGTTTTTTTTTTCGCGAATAACTCCTACAAAAATGGGCCAGAGCATACGGCAGTGGTACCAACGCATTCGTCTTGTCAAGTCACGTCGAGTGACAAATATTATGTTTGGAAAAGATCAAGTTTTACTCGTATGTTGACCTCATGTGATCTCGAATGATTTTTGCTTGATCTTGACATATGAAAGGTCATATATAATACATTCGTAGGGCTACGAATAGCCCTATTCGAATAGTAGGGCTAAAAATGGGTGCCAGCTTCGGCTCCGCGGATCACGAATCTGGCACCCATTTCGCTCTAAGCATTCATTTAGATCCTCAGAATGGCAAAGCTGTCTCAATTGTTATGGCTGACTTGAATCAGTGAAATAGCCTCCAATACCTAAGGATACTCTACCGTAACCTGGACCTTGGATCAGCTTTTCGTAAGATAAACCACAAATAGGGACCTGATAAGCTTCAAAACATTTCAAAACATCTTGGAATTTAGTAAACAAGATATACAAAAAAATGCACGGTTTGAGGTCAATTTTGATCGTGACCTTGACCTTGAACTTGAATGTTGGATACATTATCGGAATCCTCAGGTTCTCTTCTTTCGTTTTACATCCATTTTGCCGGTTTTATGCATCCCGACGTCCTCTGAATCGCTATAGCGCTATAACTTTACGTCAAAAATGTTAGGTGCTTTGGATTCGTTCCGTATAGAAGATTTGTTTTGTACCGCTTTTGTTTCCGTACTCCCTTATTTACGGAGTTAGACAGGGTATCGAAAAGCCCCCCATCCACTGGGCTTTGGCGGTTGGGATTACCCCCGGGCCCGGCCGGATTAATTTCTCTTATGAAGAAAGTGAACAATGAACGTCACCAAGCACTACATAATAGAATTGTGGCTTTGGAACGTATTCCCACCTTGAAAACGGGTAGACATTTCGGCTGCATTACCCAGCAAACATGCCCACATGGTTCCCATATGGGGCCCACATGGGCCCCCCACCTCTTTCATATGGGCCCCACATGGGAATGGCAGTGGGTGACACGTGGGACCCATATGGGCCAGCCCACGTAGGCCCCATATGGGACCCACGCGGCGCCCACATGGGACCCATATGGGTAGCCCATCTGTAGCCCATGTCCCACGTGGGCCCATCTGGCCCATGTTCACCCCATATGGGACCCACATGGGATGCCCATCTCCAGCCCACATGCGTTTGGCCCATCTGGCCCATTTTTATCCCATATGGGGCCCATATGGGTAGCCCATCTGTAGCCCATGTCCCACGTGGGCCCATCTGGCCCATGTTCACCCCATATGGGACCCATGTGGGCATGTTTGCTGGGTATGTATGTATGCATCTGATATGAAATGACAGTCCACCTAATTTCCAAATAAAAGGCCGAGCTGCAAAGATGCTTTAACCTTCGCGTAATTGACGTTTTCGCAGCCTTTACCATATGGGGGAGGGGGGATCGATCAGACCTCCAGCCGTTCGACCCTGATCGAGCAAGAGCTTCGCGGAAAAAAAAACGAACGTACATCTTGCTCATGAGTCATATAACTAGATGAGGCCAATGTTACCCGATTGTGAGGTCTAAGGTGACCGGTTGACCTTCCAGGCTAGGTCAATGATTCAAACTTGAGAAAAAAAAAAGAATCTGCTAAACGTCATGGGATGACATATTTTTCAATAGGCATATTTTTAGGAAGTGGTTTTAAATTTTGCATTCCTTTTGTCAATAATCAGATGCATTTGTGCATTTGGGTATGCCGGGTCAGAGCAGGATAACAACTTTTTGATGTCACCGCAGACTGTTTAATTTCAAAATATCATCCTAGGTTACATTGTTACGATCCCGCTATCAACCTAAGCCACGAAAAAAGTCATGTAACAAATTTTGAGGGATGCAATGCAGTTGTGGTGCTGTTTTATGTTATGCTAATTAACATAATTCGTCTCTTCTAAGCTGCATGATTATCAATATCCCTGAGACTATTCTTTTTGAACCTACTCTTCACAAAAGACTTCGACTTTCGTTTAATATTGCCAGTAAACTATAATTACAATTTCTCTGCCCTTTACCTTTTATCCGCACTTAGGCCCACTGTCTGTAGGCCCTTAGCTCCCCTGCAATAACCTTCAGAATCATTTTGCTTACCTTGTGGGACTGATGCAGACTGGACAGCCGACAGAAGACCACAGACCATCGATATCAGTAGCATAACGCTCAGAGCAGACGGAACAGACATTGCTAGGGTCAGCAGACAGCGTACTTCGGCGAGAATCGAAGACAAAATATCCCTAGGTAAGCGCCGATTGATAGACAAGCGAACCGTCAGCCGGGCGTGTGACTGATGTGACTGATATGTACTGGACTGCGCGGCGTCGGCGACTGGACGGTCGGTGCGGCTGCCGTCCGTTTTATGTGAAGAGTTCGACGACAGCGGCGCGTCGGCGGCTGCGCGCGGGACGGGGTGCATCTCGGGGAGGGTCAGCGATGGGTGTGGGGGACACCAAGGGATTCCTGGTGACTGATATGTGATGGCCGAACGGGAGATATCAGTTCTGATTCACTGTGTTATCGAACAATTCATCTGTTTTGTTTGGACAATCAGATGTGCATAACTACTGCGGTCACCTGCCGTTTTATGCCATTCATGCTCAGAGGTTTCATGATCATGATTTGGCGTTTCGGCGCTATCCCTAAATATACATCCCAGTTTTATCTTGAAATATGCCTGAATATATCTATGGGCTGAGGCGTCAATAGTTGTACCCAAAAAGCTCCAGCCATAAGTTTTCAATGGAACGGTGTTCGTTTCCCTTCTTCCCCTTTTCTTTGAAAAAGAAACCAACCGATTTTTTTATTTTGTGTTTATGTGAAATGTTGCAAGTAGTCAATAATAAAAAACATCGAGTCTTTGCATTTTCACTTCAGAACACCTTCGTATTCAATATAACCAAATAAATCATACAATGCACGAACATTCGATTATAGGACACCAAAAGTAAAAGCACTTCCTGTAACATAAGCTGCTAATGCCTATCCAATCACTATTACACTGACGCAGTCATACACTGGAAAATTGCAGGCAAACAAGTGAATGCACGAACGGACGATAGAACGGTCTGCTTGCACGAGCATTTAGCACATGCTGAGCACTTAGCACGCGAAATATCTTCAGCACTGTCTCCAACGTCTAAGCGTGGCACATCTCTACTTGACTTTACACTCCCACTTATCGGTAAAACAGTCTGAGTCCTCGTGATTAGTCGCTTTCCCAACGCCAGATGTATCTGGTGATGTATACCATCTGGAAAAGAAAATAAAGTTGTAAAATACTTCAAGATGACTAGGCATGGATCCGTTATCATGTAATAAATTGATAAGAAAAAATGAAGCATTGAGGCAGGAAAAATGAAGCTAATTGTCTAGCTCTCTTTGAGATCGATGTGTACTCGTAGTAATTTGGGTGCACATACACTTACCTTACGAGCTTTGCAACGAGTCTTCCAATGAGTCCAAAACTTTGGCTGAGACTGCTCTGCATTTGACATAGCGCAGCATGATGACATGTGCTACTGAAATCCTCTTGTTTCCTGGAAAGAATCGAATCATTGGGTTTGGCCGGTAGGTGGAATTCAAAATCTGCTCTCATAACACAGCTATACAACGAATATTTTGCAATTCGCAAGCGTGTGCGGTGTGCACGATTGTGAAGGGAACATCATATATCAACGCGTTGTTTCTTAGATTCGTCAGTGCAATTGGATAATAAAGGCTCACATCAATCAACTACCTAAATAGTTTCGATGTAAAACAAAATGCTCGAAACAAGAGGCCTGACCCTAAACGTTCTCAAATCTCCGCCATATGAATCGATATCACATATGTATTTTGTGCTCATTTTCCTAGATGCCCACCCAAGTATCCCGCCAAGGCACTTTTCAAAGACTCCTACACTGAGTACGTATCCCGCAACACCTTCTGTTATCCGCCACTGACCTGGTCCGCAGCCTGGTGAGCCAGCTGCCGGTCTCTTCTGCTAGCTGCGTCCACTGGACTCTGTCGAGCAGGACTCCGCGGACTCGCAGCTCCAGCTGGGCGGCGTCCCAGGCCTGAGTCCAGTCTCCGCCCCCGTCTCCGGACCGCCCGCCGCCGGTAGCCGTGCCCGTGCCGCCCGTGCCTCCCGTGCCCGTGTTGTTGTTGTTGTTCAGAGTTTGCTGTCGGGAGAAGAATGTTAGACGCATTCGGAAGTGATAAAGCGAGTGGTTAAAATTAACGTGGTGGTGATGTTGAGGAACTTGATAAATATCGGCTCGTTTGTCTCAGTAATTTAAACCGCTGTTATTTGATTGCAAGCCGTTAATTATTCTTCGGGCGTGCTTGGTGTATCGAGCTCGGCAAAGCATTCAATCTTTTCTCAAACATAGACCGCTGCATAAATAGGGACGCCTATGACTCAAACTGTATGGATTGAAAATACGATCCTATTGCGGAATAAATCAATTTAGCAAGTACCGACTCACGACTATCTGAGCCGTGCTCCTCACCTGAATAAGGTTGAGCAGGAAGAGGAAGCTGAGCAGCGCGAGTGCGGAGAGGGCGGGGCTGTTGTCGTACCCGCCCCCGCCGTAGCCACCCCCGCCCCCGCCGTACCCTCCGCCGTGGCTCGGCGGGCCGTAGCTGGGCCTGGCGGTCACAGACAACACGGGTCAGCGCGTGGCAAACGTCATCGCTGATTGTCCAGGGCGAGCGAATAAAGTCTATATTCCTGAGGCAGTGTCGTTAAATTTCTAACAGGACTCGCACGGTTCCGTGGTAAAACAGAACATCACAGGACGGAGCCATTTTCATATCCGACCATCGCATGCAGAAACAATGTGCGGTATGCTTTTGTAGCCTGCTAATAATTCAGCAGCAATTCATAAGACAGCTTAGTCGACATTTATTACGAATTCGATAACGAAATTATATAACGAATATTCAGCACTTCAAGGATAATATGGGCTGCTAACTGTGCGATTTCAACTGGGCGTAAATGGCACTAATTACCTACTGGTGGCTTGCAATTGATCTTCTGGGGCCACCAGGCACCAATGTCTTGGGTGGCTACGAGACTGGTCAACAATTATTAATGAGCCGCTGATGAGCTAAATGCACCAGACGTATATTCACGTAGGTCTTTGAACCTTGTGTCTTGTATCAAAGACAAAGCTAAAGCCTAAAAGGTCTCGAGTGAGATTAATCTGCAACAAAATGGATCACTGACACATAACGTCAGTTATTCCCCCCCCCCCCTGTCATCTGCAGTACCTAAACTACGACCTACACATGTCAGCAAGCGGCAACTAATGTCTCGAGCTTACAGCAATATCGCCTGCAGTAACTCAGAAATTGTGTGGCTCTACCACGAATATAGCAACAGGCCGGCGATCAATGCATATTTCCAGGCTCTCTTTGGACCCAATAGGTAATGCACGGATGAAACTCATCCCTTCAGCTAACTGTGCGCTATTTCCACTACGCCCCGATGTCGACCGTACTCACGCCGGCGCTGGTGCGTAGCTAGCATAGCTGGAGTCGGCACTTGTGTACTGGTCCAGCGGTACCGGGTACATGGCGTACTGCTGTGTACCGGCCAGAGCCATGTCGGCTGTTGGCTGGGGAGGGACCGCCTGGTAGGGGTCGTACACGGGCGGCGGCGCGGCGGCCGGGTACGGGTTGTACTGCGCCGGGTACGACACCGGCTGAGCGCCGTACTGCTGCGTGCCGTACTGCTGAGTGCCGTACTGCTGCGTGCCGTACTGCTGCGCCGGCTGGACGCCGATGACGTAGCTCGCTGCCGGGCCGGTACGACTCGGCTGGTAGCCACCCCCGCCGTACGTCTGATACTGCGCCGGCTGACTGTAATCCCACTGTCGACTCTGGCGAGCTAGAAAACAAACAGTCCACGGCAAATGTCGGTATTTTTCGTGGGGCTGAACCATATGCATACAAACGATATTGTGGTTGTTTATTGGTGAGCAGGGACAGGGAAATACGAGCTGTGTTTTTTCTGCGACCAAACCGTTTAGTGAGTGATGAGTGGAGTGGCTCCAACACATTCACTATGAGATCGTCACCTGCACGCTGCGTAGATTAGCAGCGTAATTTCACGGCAGTTTGATATGGAGAACGCCAGTAATTGCGGCGTCGGCAACCTTATTAGCCGTCTGAATCACCCCGGTACTTTACACTCCGCCGTTTTCTGGATACAGGCCGAATGAGGTGCATGCAACTAGATACGCACGTTTGCCTATGCAATGCATGCCTTTTGTATGTCAATGGACACCGCGATTACTTTGTCATTTCGGCCTTGTTCATTTCTTTTTATCAAGCAAGTACGCACGCCACGAACGTGACCTATATCTTCGCCGGGTGCACATCAGAACACAAACCATGTGTGTTGCATTGCAATATGCAAATAGCGGACGCGGACGTAACATTGCCCATTGCATTGCTCATTGTTAACCCGCGCCCCGTAGGGCTACCGGCGGACCCTACCACCCGTAGGGGGGGGGGGGTGGCGTTACGGCCCCCCCTGAGATCTCGGAAATTTACCGGCCGATTTTCAAAATTCAAACGGCGTTCGATAGCCCCCCCCCCCGGGGAAATACCTTGTGACCAAATTTCATTGACCTAGGTCAAACCGATGACGTCACAGGTCATGTCAAAGGTCAGATTTTCACCGTTCACAGGCATTTCAAGAAATGTGTTGTGAAATCGAGTAAATTGGTAAGTTATTGAAAACCATCGATGGTGCCTTGTTCGTCAAACACATACTTCGCTATCTGATGTCACTGATACCAGGTCAGGTCACAGAGGTCAGGTCACTGGGGGTCACAATATTTAAGTGTCGTGTGATACATGTTTTATGGTCCATTTTACATGACAAATGCGATTATGTGGGTCAGGCAGCCTTTGGGGTCAGTTTTGATTATGTTCCGGTGAAGGTCAGGTCAAGGTCAGGTCAAGGTCAGGTCAAGTTCAGGTCAAGGTCAGGTCAAATTAGGTCAAATTTCAAAGTTGATATTTTTGCATAAAGTGGGTATTCATTCGATGCAGCTCGTCACGGGGAGTCCAATGGTGGTCTTTGTTTTGCCCTACGTGGTCTATAAGTGCCAAAAATTGACTGAAAATTTGACGTCATCATTTTTGAACAGTTTTTTCGCTATAACTTGGCCAAAAAAGGAGATATCGATCTGAAATTTGGTATGTAGATAAAAGAGGGTAGGTACTATCACATGTATTCCTTTTTTTCGAAACTCAAAAAAATGTTTGGGATTTTTTGGCTAATATATAAAAAAATGCATTTTTGATTTTTAGGGGTCAAAACTCAGAAATTTCAAACATCCGAGATAGCAGTTTTGTAGCCCTGTCAATTCCACACCTTGTATGTCTTGATCATTTTTTCTGTATCTTCAAAGCTGTAGGCCTGACAGCTCTTCTCGCGAAGGGCTTTTTTGGGTCGAAAATGGCAGAACATGACGTGATTCTGGCGTCATTTGTGGCCAGCCTATCATAGCCTCTGGAATTTTTTTGGTCACAATGTGTAAAATTGATGCCCGGAGGGGTCCTGAAAGTTTGGTGGTGATATCTCCAGCCGCTTAGGAGATATCGATGGAAAAGAGTAGGGGGAGGGGGCGTTTCGCCCCCCCCCCCTACGGGGCGCGGGTTAACAAAGAGAGCGGAAACAAACGTGGAAACGGCTGATGACATTTCATTTTATTGCAGCTTTGTTCAAAGAGCTAGATAAACGGACACCATCTGACATTCTGACATTATTACATATTGCGTGAAGCGACTGAACTTCATTTATACCCGAATGTCATTGATTTTCCTGAAGGTAAAGCCGCTTCGAGAGGAATTGCGAGCTCATAAAGCTCCTCGCATTCTCGTGACATCTTGGCACAGAAATTCATATCACGTCGTACGGTCGTTACGTCGACTTGGTTCGTAGGACAATGATCCGCAGTGGCATGTGCCATTGTGCCAACGATGGACATCAATCGAACTACGAATAATATTACTCTAGGAAATGCCTGATTCATCTGGTATGTATAATACGGTTATAAAACCATTTAACGCAATTGTGAAGCTTCAGGCGTTTTACCAATCACCCACAACGGGACCGTAAAGCATCGAAACGGGATCGGGACATTTATGTATAGTACGCACGGTTGTTACTCTCACCCTTATACGAGCTCGTATAACTCGGCCGCTGGGCTATACAGCGACAATTGCAGACAGAAAACGACATAAGCAAGTTCGCCAAATGGTAACGGAAGAGCAAACATCGTCCTCCCAAAATTGCCATGAACTGTTTGGTCCCTGGCAATACCCAATAATCACTGTCACTTACTGCCGGCAGACGGCATATGTTTCAGTGCTCCTATGCTCAGTGACACTGAGTTCAAAACTCATGAGGAGCGCGCTGCTTGACCATGGGAACGGGGCGAATATCACAAAGAACGGTCAACGGGACGGTTAGGACTGCCTTTGGGAACGCAGTAAGAAGTAAGAACACTATAGCAATAAACCACATTGTTTTTAACATTGTTGTCAAGAAATGCAGTCCTTTATTTTAACAGGAAAAATAAAATTGTGCGCTAACCCGGAACACAACAAGGCTGTTTACTGTACCAAGACTCTTATTTTTGAAAGAATGATTCAAATTCTCACTCAGCAGCAATAAGAACGACAGATCAGTGCGCCCACCGTGTGTCGTCATCTCACCTGTGTGAAGACTCGTGTGACTGCCGGTCTCCGACATCCTCTCCTGGCGAGCCGAGTCAGCCGCGCGACCCGCGTCGACCCACCCTCACCGCACACCAACTCTCGCCGACCTGTGACGCCGTGTGACGCTCCTCCGTTACCCGCGCGCCGCGTCACGCGTCACGCCTTGTGACGGCGGTGCTCACTCTCCCACGGCGCGTGCCGTGATGTGCCGTGTCGTGACGCGACGCGCGCTGAGCGCGTTCATTGCAGGGAGACCGTCAGCAGACAGACGTAAATCTGTCCGTGACGTATCTATCAGCGATGGGAGTTTCACACCGACGATTTTCTCAATAGTTTCAAATATGATCACACATAAAAAGAAAATGGACTCTTCTCAGGTTCGAATTGCCGTATAATCACAAATTTACTTCTTACATCATTTCATAACACGGGTGGATAGGGATCACACACATATAAGAAAAAGAAAATAGATTGCTCAAACTACGGTCGCATTTACGAAAAACGCTCAAACGGTGATGAACCCTCTGATAGACACATAATGTTCACTTCAATTATGCAATACCTATGTATACCACTTCTTATACTCCCACATCCAGCTCTTGAGCGACAACGAGCGAGCCACCGTCTCTGGATAGAGCAGGGTAGGAGCTGTTTTTTACGGATCCGTTTCTCCTGGGCCTGGCGTATAAGCGGCCCAGAGGTAGGTCACAGTCGTGCCGTTGCCCCGTCGTGCGGCGCTCAGTATTCGTTCTGATCCACTTCTGATGACAGGGTCAGGCGGCACGAGGCGCCATGAGAGCCATTAATTTCCTGGGATCGTATATACGCGGTGTGAGCCAGACAATTACCGCCGTCAGCCGGGCTGCTGCAGCGCCGGCCTGTTGTGCGCGGCCCAAAGTCAAAGTCAAAGTCATTTATTAGAATTCTTCCACGGGGTGGGTATTAAGAATCCGGTCAGGAATGTGACATGGTGACATAGGAGCTAAGTGAGACCCAATTAAAAATATATGATGCTGATACAATGGCAAAAGCTACGTTAAAACACATCGACGATTACATTAAAACACTCGCGAACGCATCATCCGCATGTAAGAAGTTGACATCAGCGGGTTGACATTCTAAAATCAGGTGCCTATGGCGGTGTCCTTCGCATTCCACGATGCTGCCGCTCTATATGCAAACTCCCGCTGATTTCTTGCGAGCCGCCACTTCGGGAGCTGTAACTTCCCGGCTGCTACCGCGCGAGTGTCACGTGACGACACATCGGCCCGGCGGGTGAACATGGCCGACATCGCTGGGGGACATCGGTCATTGTACAGGCTCTCTGGGGTGGGCCCATTACGCACGCGCCGCTGACTGCACCGGGCTGCCGCCGTGGCGAGAGGACACGAACAGAGGAGGTTATTAGGCACGGGACTGAGGACTCTCGAGATGGATGGCGTGTAATGGAATGATGAGTGGTGCAGCGAAATGAAGGAGGCGTAATGACATACAAATTAAAACTGGAAATCTTCAACATGTTTAGTGCGTGGCTTACATCGGTCCCGTTATGGCCATTAGGACCTAATCAATGAAATAGTAACAGCGTCGTCTCATTATTCGGTGCGGGAAGTCAGGAGCATGGCATGCTGAACGTCGATGTTACCGTTTGGGGACGATGGTCGAGACGTCACCTGACTTCACCACGGCACTTGGCGGTACCTATAGGCAGGAATAGGTGCATACACTTCGCATCTGCCATCTACCTATTTACCCCCAAATGTGGAACAGCTAGGACGCTGCCACGCTGCGGAAGGGTCAAGTGCCCCCAAATGCCTCCTTGGATCCGCCACTGGCACTCACTCTTCGCAAGTACTTAGATCTGTTACTGTTTGTCCCGTCTACTGTTTAGCTGTTGCTGTTGCGAAACCTCCGCTCGAAGATCAAGTCATCTACCTATTGCTCCCATACCTATAACAGGACAAAAGTGCAGCAAGTAAAAAAGCATTAATTATTGTACTATTATATTAAGTAAAGTGCCCACATTGTGCCAACATCACAATTATTACCTGTGCTGGTCGGTATTAGAAAACCACTGAATGTTTCAGTCTGTTCGGCTGCGGTAGTCCTACGCATGGTCAAGGTGCTGATGCCGAAACACAGGTCAATGAATATGTACAGCCTTCTATCAACGACAAAAAATAACAATACACGTTCACATACACACAAACTTGCATACACACAAGCACATCATAAATAATAAGCAACGGACAAACAAAAGCCGGCGATCAGCGAGTGTAGCCCGGCTCGGCCTGGGTCCGTCATGCGCAACATCTCTCGGGTACGAGCAGAAGCTTTAGTGCGGCGACGGCCCGGCACGTAGCAGGGTTGGCGGCGCGCCCACAACTCCTGAGTGGTAACTGTACATCACCTAGAGGCGAGACGGAGCCCGACAATAGCAAACAGCAGCGCCACAACTACAAGGCACCGGTCACCGACCCACAGATCCGTATCTGTGACACGGCCGGCACTTGGACGTCGGGCGCCACCTATTCAAAACGACGACAACAACGAAATAGGTGGAGCTCGAGGTCCATCAACAGTCGAGACTCACGGAAGGCACTGCTTCTGCGTCGATAGTAGGATAGGTCATTTCGTGGGAGACAAGGGACTATCTACCAAATGAGTTTTAAAAGATTAAATATGAGCTTGTCTTTAGGAATGTAGCAAAATAGGGGCGTGCCTTTACGACGGGAAGTGAAATTGAGATAAATAAATGGAAATATTGGTAGGCAGAAATTCAACTTGGTAGCAACCAGCAGACAGGTATGATACAAATGAAATAGGCAAGATGAAAAGCTACATGCCTATGCCAAGGTAAATGCAGTTAAAGCTCCGTAGCCATCATATAGGTAGCCAATATCCATTTCAATTTGAGAGTAGCGTCTGAGGAAACAAATAAAAATCCGTTCCAACAGAAACTAGACACCGAAAAGGCGAAAAGGTAATGGCAGGGTGAAGGACACATTAGCCATATTGCACCGTACCCAAACCACACCATTTCTCTAAATATTCAAGAACTCTAGATACTCTTGAGAACCGAAATGAACGGCTCTACGCAATGTTTCGTGCCCCATTCTCATATCTCATTACAGTATTACTCTGATGTGGGGCTCTCGAACGAAGCATTTGAGCTGCTGAGCTGGGTGTTCGCCCTTGGCGACTTGTACCACAGATGAAGAAACGCGTTTCTGCTGAGGCGTAGCCGCACTGTCGGTAGCATTGGTGCAGATGTCGCGCAGGTAGTTTGTTTTCTCTCCTACAGATGTCGCTGGCGGCGCAGCAGCTTAGATGAGGTTGCACTGGTACAGGAGGTCGCAGTTCTGTCCGTTGCGGCCCATCCTGGCAGCCTCTCCGATGGTGTCCATGTCGAGACCGGTCGGCATCATGTAGGCCGCCGCGTACCTGACAAAGGTCACCGGAGGTCAGTCAAAGCTCCGCGAGCGGACGAACTAGCGAATAATGACGCCGTTGTTTAGTAGGTAAACACGTCACAAAAGGGTGACGGGTGACCCGGTTGTTGACTGACGTGAAGTTGTCAGTCAGGCTCGTCTATAAACCGGTGAGAAAGTGGGTGACTGGGACAGTGCTGCTGCCTCCCAGGAGCGAGTTGTTCCACTGCCGAGCCAGCGAAACGGTTCGAGAATCACCGTGTGAATTTCTCAGTCTCCGCTCATAACCCGGGGCGAATGATGCGATGCGAGGATTTGTTTTATGGTGACTGTTGTTACATGTGTTTTGTAGAAACTGATTGCAAGCAGAACGTTTCATGTGGTTCGAAAACAGTGAGACGTTTGTGGTGATAAATTAGGAACTATTAGATCAAGGTAACTGTTGACTAAGCCGTTTACAGTTTTGTATCTCTTCGCAGGTTCCAAAAGGTCATGTTTTCTACCGTGATCAATGGTCTGTGCTGCGCCTGCGTTACCTGCATGATAACGGCTCACTTCGGTCAAGCCCGGGGAAAGCCGGTGATTTTAGGCTTGCCTCACACGCAAACCAAAGACTAAAAATTTACGGAAGCTTTTTGACCCACCCGCTAAATCTCCATAAAAGATTGAAGCAAGCGTGCAAAACAGCGGAGAAAATCATCACTACCCTTGAAACACCTTGCTTTGAGACATTTTTGCTTGTATGACTCCTCGACACTTGTGTCATGCACTAGTATAGACATGCAAAACACATAAGCGAACAGTGAAACAGTCAGACCGTAAGGAACAACTATATATTGTCCCGCTCTCTGTATACTTTCTCCGTTTCCCCCGTTGTGAGCGCTGTAACGGGAGCTAATGTTTTGGTCGGCTGCCGAGGAGGTAAAATGGTCCGCCCGCACTCCGCCCGGGTCGTTTCGCCACAGACGGGGGCTCGATGCGGCCAGTATGTCATCCTCTCACGGGCTCTCGCGGTGTGACACGGTGAAAGCCCCACCAGCTGGTCCTATGCCACGCTCCAACGGATCCACAGCACCGCTGCTCGAGTCTCACACCGAGAAAAGGTCCAGCTAGGCTAGAAAATACTAGATAAAAGGAAACAAAAAGTGTATCTATAATAATTTTGCAATGTCGAGGCGTAGATGACCAATTTTAAAGAGAGGTCCTATCGCTGTGCCGACAACGCTTCCAGTTTTGTACCCATAGCTATTTACCGAAAAAAAGACCTCTCGTTCCACTGCAGTCTCAATGAAACGAATTGGAAATGGATATCTATAGCTTTCCGATTGACTACGGGCTCGTTATCTGTTTTTCGGGATGCCGGCCCGTATGAGGAGTGCCAAGTCTGCTCTCTTATCAGATGAAGTTGTTCTACGATCAGCGAACCTTACCCGAGTCCACAATCGGGCGAATGGGCACTGATGGACGCCAAACGAGCCAAATGAACTGACAGGACAGCCAGACCCCGTGATCCATGAAGGAGAGAGGAGAGAGCGCGGGAAATAGAGAGGGAAAGAGAGAGAGAGATAGAAAGAGAGAAAGAGAGAAAGAGAGAAAGAGAGAAAGAGAGAAAGAGAGAAAGAGAGAAAGAGAGAAAGAGAGAGAGAGAGAGAGAGAGAGAGAGAGAGAGAGAGAGAGGGAGAGGGAGAGAGAGTTTTGGAACGACCCGTCAACGAGCCCACGCACCGCACATGTGGTGTAATTAGATCGTGCACTTTCGAGAGCGGCATGCAGAGAATGTTGCAGAGGTCGTGGGTCATGCGCTCAGTCGGTGGTGATGCAATGTTTGACATGTAATTACGGAGTGTTATGAGTCGGTACTGCTCTGCAGTGGAGAGACCAGTTTCCTTTTAATCATGAGTGAGGTCGTGAGTGAAATCGTCACGGCTGCGGGAAGTCTGTGGTGTCATGAGGTGAATTACCACCGCTAAATCTCCGTTGTAACACAGCTGAAGCGAACTGCGCTACAGGAAACTATAGGTATAACTCTGGCCAAAGTAAAAAATGAAAATATTGTTTTTCGAAACATCCAAAAATGTATGCATTCATGGGCTAAGCATCTAATTCTAAAGGAGTGACGTCCAACATAAAGTAGTTATATTGTAGAAACGGTTAATCAGTCTATCGGATAGACGGTCCATTGGCGGCAGCAAGTGGCAAGTCCATCCTGCTGTCATCGACAAACTCTGCACCCTGTACTTACGATCCGATCTTGCAGAACATGCCGCCGTCCTCGGTCTTGGCCAGGCACTCTTTGCTGGCCATGCACATCGACTTGAGACCGCAGATGTCATCACCGACCAGGGCCTGCCGCGCCACACCCTGCAGGGGAAGACAGGAGCAATCAGGGTCAGTAAAGGGTTGACGGAGGCCAAGAGGAGGGTTAGAAATAGGGTTGTCCGGTTATCCGAAGTAATTAGTTAGTTGCATTTCCAGCCATGAAGGCAAACTTGTGTGGCTGTAGGAGACAAGGAAGTGAATCAATAACAGAATCACACCGGGTCAATTTTGTAGGTGGATCGGTAATGTTGCAACAGCATGACCTTTGCAACGTCCCATCCCCATAGAATTTGGACGCGGGGTTCAGTTACGGGTCATTCAGACCATGAGTCAGGTCAGTCAGCGGCCAGGCGGCTAGACACCTGTTCAAGAGCTCACGTAGGGACGCGACGCATGCTGCTCGGCTCAGCGATAAAACTCTGCCGCAGACTGTCAGCACAATTACACACCGTTACTGCCAGCTCGAGGAAAACTGTAAATCTATCCTGACCATGCGGAAAAATAGGGTACTACAGACGTTTCCGCGTCATGGACGGCAACTTCTAGGACAAAAGAGCGAGTTTGGTGCGTCACCACGGTGGAAACAAGCGTACGTTAGTAACAAAGCGCGGAGATACTAACACAATTTCTTTGTTTTCCCTAGAATATTGGAAAAAATGCGCCTGACGATGCGGCTAAATCATGGATATTACGGTAAAAGTAGCCACCTTCGCCTTCATTTTATTTTTTTTTTAGAGTAGAGCACAAAGTCGCTACTCAACACACCACGAGCTTCCATCCCACATATCCGGGGACCAAAGAGAAGCCCACTGACATTGGCGGTACCTGACTTCAGGAGGGGACGCTCACCTCCAGCATGGTGATGGCGGTGATGCCAGCGTCCGCAGTGTAGTCGGTCTCTCCCAGAGACCGCGCGTGCAGCGAGCGCTCGCTGAAGGAGGTCTTCAACACCTCCGTCAGGTCCATGACCACGCTGATCAGCTGGAAAAAGGATAATCATTTGTCAATGCATCACTACAAACAGTTTATTCATTATAGGATTACGATATTTTGTGTAAATAAATTTGTCCTACAAAGGAAGTTGTCTAAAGTCGAACTTTTTAGACGCAAGTTATACTTTATTCGAACATGCTACCGCCGTTGCTGCCATCATTGTTTGACTCCAATTGACTAAAACAAAAGCGACATGAATGCTATCGGAGAAACAAGAGAGTTGTGCATACGCATTTCATCACTAAAAACATGATGGAAATTACAGTTTTTGCATACATTTTCAGCCTGCTTATTTATACAGTATACACGTACCTGAGTCGCCTGCTTTGCCATGACCTGGACCGACTCGGGGTCATCCTGACCCATCGCCAGGCCGAGCACCGTCGCCAGAACACCCTGCCGAGCACACGAAACGGAGCACAGTTAGGAACACAGCTACGGAATCACGACCTCGCGGGAACGGAGCACCACTTACGAGCACAGCTAGCGCGGCATGGGAGCACTGGCGCTCGACACTGCACATAACACGCGACACACAATCGTACTAGCTATCCTTCCTTCTTCGGTTAGCAAACAGACAAGTGTTACCACCAAACAATTTAAATCCCCACCACAATGCCAGACTGTCTGCCGAGCCCAAGGTGCGACAGAGAGCCACTGAATGGTGGACTGAGCTGTCACCTGCCGGCACCGCCAGGTAGAAATAACGTTCAGCACCGTTACGTAACGGAAAGACCGCCTTTCTCGAAAAGTAAAGCTCAACGGTTTCCCCATGCCTAATTGGGAGCCGTTTAAGGAAGGTATGTAGCGGTCGCAATGTGTGAAGCTCATTATTGAATCTTAGATGTATGAAGTGAACTCCCGCTCAAAGACGATTAGCATAGAAAAAGTGAGAAACAAATACATAATCTAACAGTCCCACTACATGACAAAGCTTTTGAGAGTATGGATAGAAGACATTCTAAAAACACAATGGACCAAACTGTCATTGCCTTCCTGACCATCCCCGCGCCCGACTTCATATGATGGGCTTAACGATTTTCATGCTGAGATATAAATGTAATTGTATATGATTGGGATATCATGCTTTCATGAAGGCCTCTCGTGATACGAGAATAGCACAGTTCTTGTTAACTGGCTGATACCTGCATGCTCTCTATGAGCTGCAGCAATCATAACCAAGTCCGTATTCAGGAAAACAAGATACCCATTTCTTGAGCAATAAAACCCACAGGAATCGAATTTGAGGAAGCCTTTACTGGGCACGCGAGGCTGCATAGATATGACCGTCATGTTTTGTTTTCTCCGTTACCGGACTCCTGTCTTCCTGTATAGCGTCAAATAAAAGGAAGTACCTAACGTAGGCCCCAGAATGTTATTTGGTATTCGGAAATTTATAACTGTCGTTCTTTTGAGAATGCCCAGTAGCAAATTGTTAGGCATGGAATGCAAAATTCAGTAAGTGGTCTCATGTTTCAGAAGATGCAAGAGGGCAGTGTTATATTTTTTTCAAGTAAAATAAAAAAACGTTCTAGAAATCGTCACCTTTTGCAGACCTTATCAACTGCAGAAGTCAGGTCAGCACTCAGCACGGAAAGGCGCGGGTAGAGAGTGAGGAGGCCGAGGGGGGTGAGGTTAGCGTACCTGGACGGCGTTGCGGGTCGGGTTGTCGTTCTTCTCCAGCTGCGGGTCGGCGCCGCTGCCCAGCATGTTCAGGATCACCTGCATGCCGATGCTGATCACCTTCGCCCAGGAGAAGCTGCCCGCCTCCTGAGAACAGAGCAGTCACCACCGTCAGTGTCGGCAGAAGCTAACGGTGACCGCCAAACACAGATACCCAGGCGGCTCGGCCGACCACCGCCAGCCTCGGGCCTTTTGAGGCTGACCCAGCATTAGACCCAACTAAGCTCCAGTTGGAGATCGTTCCACTGATTCCGCATACTGCGATGGCCGAAACCAGATGTCTGTTTTATCGTCCAGCCATCGACTGAGAACCCCAGTATGACCTGGTTCCTCGGCCATAAAATGGCGTGCAACGCCGATTTTTGCGACCATGTGCCTGACAACAGTTCCCACAGAAAAACGGCGACAATCGTGTCACGGAATCTGGCGAAGATCCCCGCCGGCCGCTTCCCACCTAAATCAGCGCGCCGTCGTCGACACATCGGCGATAGCGGTTACCGAGTGGCTGTAGCGCCCCCGATTCCGTCAGCCGGGTTCCTAGTAAGGGCACAGCTCATTGAATGACGCGGATTGCTGCCCTGTCGTGGCGTGGAAGTGCCGCCGATCAGGCACAGACAGACAGCCAGACAGACAAGCCGATAACGGGGTGTAAAATTCCCGGGCGGCATCATAATTCTGGCGAGGATGCAGACATTGACACAGCTGATGGTGGGAAAACTGCCGGCCATTCATCGCCACGGCATGGAAAGGAGCCGATATTGATCGATTTTCAATCGGCTATGCATTGAGTAATACGGCACCAGGTTTTCATTTTCTCCGCCTTTTTTGTTATTGGCTGCTTTTGCATTTTATCCCGACAAAATGTAACTTTAGGGTCAACGGACGTACGTCATAAAAGCCTATATGTAGTCGGGGAAATAAGTTCATTAGCGAACTGATGACAAACCAATCAATCATATCATGCCTCCTCAGTCAATTCACATACCACCCGGTATCCAGGCGAGCCTGGCTGACTTACCCCGTTGTCGACCTTCTCGATCTGCGTGCCGCTGCTGAAGGCCTTGGCGACCCCCATGACGAACTGCAGCATCATGTTGATGGTCTTGCCCCAGCCGCCGCCGCTCTCCTGTGGCGGGCCGATCGGTCCGGGGCCGGGGCCGTACTCGTAACCGAGGTCAACCTGAAACCGAGCGAACAGTCAGACGTCAGACTGGGCAAATAATGATATATTTCATATGTTATGTCAGGGCAGGCCAATTCATAAGAGGTTAAACTCATTCAATGTAAGATCTGGAATCATGTCGGATCAGGAAGTAGTTCGTCTATTTTCCGTTCACAGTGTTATTTAATTAAAAGGAAAAGTTCATAGCATAGCGTCAGACGAAATCCGCAGTAACCAGAGTCCAATTCACCACCCATCCCCGCTACGCTTCACTGCGTCCGTGACACCACATGGCGCGTGACGCGCTAGTCCCGGAAATGGGTCGCCTGACGCGGGCGTCATCCACGTCACTGACATCAGTGACTGGATCGACGAGCCGTCACCCGTTCAGCAGGCATGCGTGGAGCGCATCCGACCTCACAATCTGTAGCAGCCCCCTCCCCAGAGTCCCCGCGAGCGCGGCCAGACATGACGTCACAGCCCGGACAGCACGGCCGCTAGCACCGCACTCTGGTATGACGACCAGACTAGATGTTCAATCCCCTGACGGCATCGGCGACCGTGGCTGACGACTTTTGGACACTGATTTTTAATCGATCGCCAGCAACAAGTCTGAGACGCGCTGCCGCGGAAAGAATGCATGTTTTCGCCGCTGTGAAATGCAGCCAATCTGTATCGACGGCAGTCCTGACACGGCACCGTGCTGCCAGTGATTGATGTGATCGGTCCTGCCCAGACGGGTCACGAGCTACATATAGGTGTCTGACGCCGTACGCCAGTGTAGCTGCAGCTGTTGCCAAGGAATCAATCGGGACGATTATGTCCATTGCTTGCAGAGAGCCAACAATTTTAGCAGCAATGTTCAGGTTTTGTTATTGTACTGGGTTGAAAAGATGGTAGGCTTTTTATTATCAGCTAACGCTGGATTTACGATGAGCTCATCGTAAAGAAAGCTAGGTGGTTCTGAATTCCTAAACCAAGACTTCTGAGCCTTGGCTAGGCTAATCAAAGAAGAAATTGAAGAAGCATTATTGCCAATATCTATATTCATCCAACCATTATGTTTTCGATGTCTGCACCATCTGATTCTGCATCCTCTATTGAAATGAAACGTGACCTGCATTTAATGATCCAGACCCTACCAGCATGTGACGGGTGCTGAGATAAGAATAGATCCAACTGCGCAACCGGGAGGCACCGGAGAGGGTCAACCACCTCTTCTAACCTAGTGAGCGAACAAAAAGCCATTCCGGTCTCATAAAAGTGATCTCCCTTAGCAAAAAGACAACTGCTTTCACGCAGCAATCATCCGTCACGAAATTCGTGATCTCATGCTCCAAGCTAAATAGCCATACAACAGGGTAACAGCTAAATGCACACACAACATGCTAACAAACTTGTGCTCAGTGCCGGAATTCGCCAGTTAGCCTGAATTCACACAGGATCTCATCAGTTTATGGGTCGCGACTCGCGTAGGTACTGTCCCCACTATGAGTTGGAACATTTTGTCTCTTCAAAGGTGCATTTATTTCACTGTTTTGTTCAAGCGTCGTGCAAGTGACTCAGCCCGTGTGCATTCAAGCAAGAGCTGCGGGTCAAATTAAGTGTAGTGAAAACGGTACCGTCTTCGTAATATAAACGATCTTGAACCGTATCAGATTTCTCACGACTCCTTTCATGGTCAACAACACATATTTGTTTTTGAAACCCAAAACTGGCCCTATCTGTGACGTACCGTATGCGAACCTACACTTGTAAACAAGCCATCATGAAATTTCGCCTCATATCGTCCCATTTTTACACGTGTCCCATGGCACGCCAAACTGGTCTTTCCCAGGCTTTAAGCCAGCTTGCCGGCTTAGCGACAGAAGTCACACCTGAAACGGTTTGTTCGTTGCATCACCGTTCACAATAACCACTAATCCCCTGTCTCGTGTCACAAATACCCTCCACCTGGTGTACCTATCCGCCTCCCTTGGCTTGGGCGTCAGGCTCGGGATCCGTTATAGCCTGGACTCCGGGCTCGTTAGATCCGGACCCTTTGAACTCCGCGCCCGCCTTTCGGAAATCTCCCCCTAGGAAACGGTGGGTGGTAGAGGTCTCATCTCGCACGACCCTCCCCACAGCAGGCGACGTTTCCGAGCGGCCGGACGCGACGGTCTCACCCGGCGGTCCAGAGGTCACCGACCTCGGCAGGCCGTCACAGGCCGTTAGTCTGGGTACCGGCCTCCGCGACCAGAGATCGGAGATCAGCGGCCAGCGGCCAGCGGCCAGTGCTCCGGCTGACCGGGGCTTGGTACATACCCAGCGCTCAGCATTGAAGGGACAGTATCATCGAAAAAAAATCCATGTATGGAGCTGATTTTTTTTTTACTAGCATTTCTCATTTTTCTGAATCAGAAAAACATAGTTTGAGGACCGAACTCGGTGAAAAATATTGCAACCACATTTCATTTTCATGATTCATTTTCATGAGCGAACCACCACTATACAAGCATGGCCGCCAGTTTGGAAGCATGCAAAATTACTACAGAACTGGCGCAGATAATACATTATTGACGCTACGCTTACGCGGTCGTTCTTCTGATTGAGTTGTCCTTAGGGAGAGGTAGCCTTAGGTATTGCCTATAAAAATATAACGTGACAATTGGAGGGAGTGACAATTGGACGTGACAATTGACAATGGGAGAAAATATCACGTGACAATCACGTGATAAACGTCATACATTGGAGGGAGATTGTGATTCAAGCTGGAGGAATTCCTTTGTTGAGCTGCTAGAATCCAAAGGAAACAGCGGAAATTGCCTACGACTATTTAATGAATTTAACGGTGATGAATAAGTGCGAAAAACGTTTTGGCTTTATAAAATTTGATGAAATGACCAGGGTAAAAGTTTTATTACTGGCGGTCAATTCAAAACGGCGCAAACATTTAAACAGTGAAGATAGTGAAGCACGATTCAAAGTGTGGTACACCTTTCGTACTTTGAGCGGCGATAGCGGGATAACGGTGTGGAGCTTCGAGGATCGGTCTTCAGTTCCCGGACCAGAAAGGTGGGGCCTATGCAATGTCAAATTTCATCAAAATGGTGATACTGTCCCTTTGAGCAGTCAGTGAACCGACAGCCACCTTGAAATTCATCAACGAAGAGCAGTTGAACCCTGATCATTCTTTGACAAATCGAGGGCAGTATTGAGCGATCAACTATTTACGTCGTAAATTGGTTGCTTGAAGACCTAGCGTTTGTTTCTCGAGAACTGGCTACTTCATGGCATGGCGCTTGCAGTTGGTGCACGGTGATATACATTATACAGTTAAATATCTGTCACAATGGCAAATAACGGACTTGAGAGGACAAGTGGGGAAGAAAAACGTGTTTTTTTAGAAACTGGTAGCTATGCACTTCCGCAAGGTTCGGGTGGCTCAAACTTCGGGACTCTTTGACGTCCAAAATGCCTCTTGATGAATCACAATCCACACATGCCACTAAACTTTAACAACCTCCAAACCAAAAAATCCATTTTAATTTTGAACACAATAGCCGGAAAAGCATAGCGCTTCCCTCGAATCCCGACTTCCCCGTCTCTCCAACAACCCAAGCCATCCCCACGGACCCACCTTTTCGATGCCGGGTACGTCCGGACCGGCGTAGTATCCCTGTTTCTTGATGTGGTTGGGTTTGTTGACAAACTTGCGCTGCAGCCGCGGCTCGTAGTAGTCCCGCTGCGACTGAGCGTACACGGGCATCACCAGAGTGGAAGCCACGAGACTGAGCAGGGCCCAGCCCAGCATCTGCTGTTGCTGCATCATCTGTGGGGGAGAGGAAGTGTCAGCTTATTGTGCGCGGAGAGTTAGACAATTGTGACAGATTGCTACGGCCATGGGGTAGCGATAATTTGGTATTAGTGTATCGGTTTATTGCTCAGCTAAAGCTGAAACCAAAGGACTGTTCAAGCATATGGTAGGCTGAAATTGTATACCTAAGCAGTTGGTTATAAGCCGTGATTGTTGATCAGTTTCAATAACTATGATCCCGTAATGCAAGATTAATTATTCAAACTCCTGCAAGCAACATTGGGAAGCATAGTAGGTATACTGTTAACTAATGTGAGCATGTGATTAATCAATGGTTTGCATCATGAAGGCTCTCGATTTATTAGCTCTTGGCATTAGGCCAAATATTGTTATTGGCTGGGTCATGTAACACTCAATCATTATAATTGATTCCAACTAGCTTGCAAGCTCGTCATTGTCCACAATAGACTGCAAACGGTAGATTGATTAGACCAGGCCCAAAACAGCCACTGATTTACACAGCAGGAAACATAACTGCCATTGCAGTTGGTTGCTATCTATGCGGGAAGAACCGACTCTCAATCAAAGTTTGACTCGTAATGCCTCTTGTCTTATACCTTCACATCAGCATGCAGGGGTCGGCGGCGTCCGAGCTGGCCTGCGCCCTGGCTTCGCTCGGCGACTCTGGGACGCACCCGGCTTTCGTGACCCGACCGTGGGTCATTGTCCTCAGGTGCGCGTCGCTTCCGGCCGCTCGGACCGACAAAAAGCAGTCGCCGCCGCCGCCGCTGCTGGACGACTAGGCACCGGCAGATGGCCGTCACAGTCCAATGTTCTTGACGCTCGTCTGAGCTCAGAGGCGGCGGCGGCTGGCACACCACCCTCGGAGGGGCGGCGCGCCGCCGCCGGCGCCGCCCCCGTCCGGGCACACACTGGCCGTTGGCACCGGTTCGCGCGACTCCCGGTCTACCCGATCGCGGCGCGGCGCGGCCTCTGGGCTATGGCGTACGCCGCTCAGGGTCGCGGAAAACCCTCTGACCAGCTCGCAGCCCAGTGGTGAGGGGGTGACGAGGTGTGACACCGGCCCGACCCCACGACCTGGGGAGCCCGGCGAATCACACGTGCCAGCCCTGGGGACTCCGCCCGATCCCATCGATCCCCAGACCACAGAGAGGTAGAAATTTCCACCGTTTTCCCATCGAATCATCGGAGGAGACCAATGACTGGCTCGTACCGCTATCCGCCTATAATCTGGGTATTTACCAGCAGCATCGGCTCAGCCATCCAGCCGTCTAACTGTCCGTCAGCCGTCACGTGTAGCACGACGGAAGCCGGAGGCCGACCGAATCCCGGGAACCGGGTGCGGTGACGCGCGGTTTATTGACCTGAGGCGGCCCGTGGCCGGCCCCGCGGTCGGGGTGCCGGTTCCCGCGCGCTGGTACCGGCTGACCCACATCGCTCGGTCGGTCCCCACGCCCCGGCCCGCTGCTGCAAGGCGGCCACTAACGGTGCCTCTCCGCGGCCCGAGGTGGTCGTCCGGATGGTGTGCCGCAGGGAACAGTGCTAGCGCCGGCATTCTTCGCTGGATTAGATCGCAGGGCGTCCGAGAGGAATGTAAGAAAGAGGCGAGGAACAGCAAGCAATGGCCGCGTGATTGGTACGCGGTCGACCGATGCGTTTGTATCATTTACAATCACTTTCGAGCGCTCGTCAAAATTCAACCAGAAAATAATCCATCAAGTGGGAGACAGTCACAAACGTTTCACTAGAGAACGTCGCAGAGAAAGCTAGAGTTGTGGGCGTAAAACGATTTAATGGTTTCTGCTTGCCCCTCCTCGTGTCTCGATAAGACGGCATAGCAACCAACTACATAATCGAGAAGCAAACTGAACTCGCCCCAAGTGCAACATAAAATATCACCCAATTGCAACGCTTTCTGGTCAATGCCAGTGGCCGTTCATTTTTTTAGATATTGGCTGTGACGTTTCAGTACACGATACCGTCTACAATAGTTACGCAGGGCTCAAATTGTCAACGTCGCCCGTATCTTCGGTCGCACATGTCGAAGTGTCGTAAGGCGTAGACTGCCGCTGACAGCGGTATCGCAAGGCGCAGACAGTCACCAGTAATGATACCGCGGGTGGGCTCCGGTTTCCAGACAGCACGCGCATGCAACTGTTGCTATGAACCACCTCAGACCGTGTCATACTGTCTGGTCTGGCTCCACAGACATATACCTACTCAGTACTCAGTGCCTAATGGCTGGTGACAGCTAGCGACGGAAGGTCAGAGCCTGGGCCTCACATCGCTACCAGGCGGGTACAATATATGAGCTGCAGGGGTCAGGAGCCTACCGCACAGTTGCAAGTAAATAGCGATGCAATGCAACGCTGCGAGGTTACATCATCCAGGCGCACGCCGTGTCTTCGAAGCACTAATGCGGCGTCTTTTTAAATGCATCTCCGCTTGCTTTCTTGAAGAATGTCGAAGTATGTTCGCTCTAGCATTGCATCAGACTACTCGCCGTCACCTTTCTGGGTGGTGCCTCAAACGCTTCTGCCCCAAAAGTCCCAAACTATAGCGAATTGCGCAGTCGGAGGTGTGCAACGCGGCCCAGTGGCGCGGGAACCGGGGGGGCTAGGGGGGGCTGAGCCCCTCCAACTTTTCGGCTGGGGGGGCTCGTAATGTAGTTGAGCCCCCCCAGCTGGAGGAATCGAAATCGGAAATCTACCAACACAATTAGTTCATAGATTCATACATAGGCGCGGGAACCGGGTCCGGGGGATAGGGCAGTGGGGGAAGCTTGCCCTCACAACTCTGGGGCCGTGGGGGAGGTGCCTCACAACTTTTCATGAGGCCAGGAACCGTTGGGGCAGCTTGTCCTCCCCAAATTAGGGGTTGTGAGTCACAAAGGAAGAAAGCATGTGAGTGAAAAATCTACCTATTTTACTGACTCAGCAACTCATTTGGCAGCTTAAAACCTTTATTCCAGGTTGCCAAAACGGTAGTTTCTTCACTCAGCTGAGACGGAATACCTCACTTTTTTGCAAATATTGTCTTCTTTTTTTTCGTTGAAAAGGCCAAGGTCTGAAAAATAAGTGGCCTAAAACCGATGAGAAAACTAGATTTGGGGGTACCCTAGGTTGATCTCTATGATGGTTCAGCCCCCCCAGTCTGGAAGAAGTTCCCGCGCCACTGGCAACGCCCCCGTTCATGTGCAAAAATACCGTCAGAAATGGCAAAAAGTGCACTAATCTTGGTCCAAGGACACGACTCACGTTGGCAGCAGGGCCACAAAAATGGCTGGATAACAGTTAAGCGTGCAGCCGATAGCCACGAACGGCCGGGCGCCGTTTCCTCGTTGCGGTTGTCTGGGACTTCCTGCACAGTTTTCACGGCTCCCGTCACTGAGACATGTAGCTAGACAGCCACCACGGCACCCGACATCGAGACAGGTGACTATCTACGGAGCTATCAGGGCGCTGACAGCTTACAACAGTGGTCAGCCAGAGCAGCTGATGGCGGCGGCAGCAGCTGTCGGAACTTTCCCAGCTCGGTATAGCTCAGCGAAACTCACACAGCTCTTACCTTGTCGTCGGTTCCGTAGTCCAAATCACGATCTCACAGCAGCTGGGTCGGCCGACCGTCCACTGAGCTCCCCGGGCAGATACTGACCGGCCAGCCGGGCCGACCAGGCGACCCTCTCCGCCTCTCTCCTCACACGCTCCGAGCGCTCTGCCCGACCCGGTTCGGGGCGCCCCGTCTCCGCGGCGTGGCGGCGCTCTGCAGCCGACCGGGTCAGGTCCGCCGCCGCCGCCCGCCCAGCCGGCCAACCTCAGCTGCCACCGCCGCTTTCACCGCCGCGACGCTTCGGGAAGCGGAACCAAAAGTGAAAAGGGTCCGGTACGTTTTGCGAAGGTTACATTGTACGCTGCTGGTCATTGCGGAGTAGGTTTTGCCAGACTCGTCTGCCGCTTTCGGGCGACGGAGAGTGATTCACTTCCGCCGGCTGGAAACGTCATTATGTCTCAAACTCCGCGTGCCGAAACACAAAACTGAGACTAAAAATGCACAAAAGAAGCGGTTTTGCGGCCAGTTGGTTGCGCTGTCGTAGTTACTCGTCTATTTCAGAGAGCGATAATTCACAATGGAAATTGACAGTCGGCTTTTGAATCACTCGTCGCTCGTCAAACGAGTTGCGAGCAATTTCTGTTGAACTTTCTCCGAAACCCATCATCAGGTCTTTACCGATGAGAATGCCAAGCTGAGATAGACGCTAGCTTTTGAATTGATTCTTTGCAACTTAACCCGGCCGGGCCCGGGGGGTAATCCCAACCACCGCAGCCCGGGGGGGGGGGGCGTTTTTCGCCCCCCTGTCTAACTCCGTAAATAAGGGAGCTACGGAAACAAAAGCGATACCAAGCGAAAGGTCCTTACGAGACGATTCTAAAGCATCTAAAATTTTTGACCTCAGGTCAATTTTCAAGGTCAGAGGTCAAGGTCAAAGGCAAAAACCGGCACATGTGTAGTGATCTCAAAGTAAGCCTTCTAGAAGACGGCAGGCGGCATCAAACCGGCAAAGTTAGGTGTCAAACGAAAGAAGAGAATCTGAGGATTCTGAAAATGTGCTCAAAGTGAAAGGTCAAGGTCAAGGTCACGCTCAAAATTGACCTCAAACTTGGCACTTTTTCGCACATCTTGCGTGCTAACTTCCAAGATGTTTTGAAATGTTTTGAGGCTTATCAGTTCCCTATTTGTGGTTCATCTTACGATACAAGGCTGCTCAAAGGTCAAGGTCACTGAAGAGTATCCCTGCTAGAGGCTATTTCACTAATTCAAGTTAGTAATAATAAATAAGACAATTTTGCCATCCGGAAGCTCTAAATGAAGGCCTAGAAGAAAATAGATCCCAGATTCGTGATCAGCGGGTACAAATTCATCATAAACGACCTCTCATGTGTCAAGGTCAACCAGAGGTCATTCGAGGTCACAGGAGGTCAACATAAAACTTGACCTTTTCCGAACAAAATATATATCATTCGACGCGGCTTGACAAGCCGAATGCGATGGTACCACTGCCGTAGCTCTAGGACCATTTTTGTCGAAGTTATTTGCGAAAAACTAAAACCACATTTCGGGGTCGTTGACCTGACCTCTGACCTCAGGTCACCAAAACTATTTTTCTATTTTTCTCTAGGTTAAACGCTACACAACCGTGCTCGTAATTTGTCTTTATCTCTAAAACTCTATTTTTAGCAGCTATTTGAAGTTTGCGTCTGTGTCGCCGAAATTTGCCGTGCAGGGGTCTAGAAAAATGGACCTTGTGACGTCATCAAGGGGGCTAGGTCCAAATTTTTTACTTCGGAAGATGTCAAATTGATGGGAGAAAAGGTACTGAAAATTTCGCTTTCCTATCCCTAAGCGTTCGGGAGCTATCGCAAATATTCGCCAGGGGGGGGGGCGAAAAACGCCCCCCCGGGCCCGCGAGGGTTAACGACCTATGGATCACGTAGCAGTTTATTTATGACGCTATTAGTCAGTGACCAGAAAACACGAATAAACGGCGAAAAATACACACTTGGCCTAAAATAATCACCATAATTAGTACCATTGGCTATTACTTAGTCTGCAGTCTACACCACACTTGCCATTTGCATGCACCTTGGACTACTCAGTCGCTCGGCTTAGGTCGATAACAAAAAGGGTGATGATATCAAATAGCTTGTGTCTAGGCGCTTGAAGTTCAACTTTATTGCTATGCTTAGAATTAGGCTACATTTTAGGCAACATTAACCCGCGACCTGGTGGGGGGGCTATTTTTTGCCCCCCCCCCCTCCAGACTTTTCGATATATCTCCAGAACCGCTACGCCGATCGTCACCAAACTTTCAGTACCCTCCCGGACATCACTTTTACACATTGTGACCAAAATTTTTTCCAAAAGCTATGATAGGTTGGCCGGAAATGACGTCATAGTGACGTCATGTTCTGCCGTTTTCGACCCAAAAAAGGGTTTCGCGGGAAGAGCTGTCAGGCCTATAGCTTTGCAATTACAGAAAAATGTTTAGGACATAAAAGCTGTAGAATTGACAGGGCTCCAAAGCTGCTATCTCGGATTTTTGATTTTTTTTTATTTTGACCCCCAAAAATCA